GCAACAAATGTGGTTCCAGCATGATGGTGCTCCAGCTCATTTTTCCATGGCCGTTAGAGAGCATTTACACCAAACTTTTCCACATAGATGGGTAGGAAGGGCCGGACCTGTTTTATGGCCTCCAAGATCGCCTGATCTGAACCCTCTAGATTTCTTTGTTTGGGGATATTTGAAGACATTAGTGTATGGTACTCCTGTAAATAGCCTGGAAGAGCTGCAGCTACGGATTAATCAAAAGTGTCAAGAAATCCAAACCAAGGAGGGTGTTTTCGAAAGAGTTCGAATATCGTTGAGACGAAGATGTCGTGCCTGCTTGGAAATGGACGGAGGGCACTTTGAACATCTTCTGTAACTTTGTTTTTTGTTTGTTAAAAGCTTCCTTTGTCGGTTTATTCCTAATAAAATAAAATGTTTGAAAAACGAATAGTGGTCCATATCTCCGCAACCGTTACTTTGCGGACCCATGTTTATTAAGACTTTTCTGCTTATTTTGGTTCATACTATTACTTCCTGAAATAGTTTACACTCTTTTTTTAACACCCTGTATAAAGAACAGACATTTTCCAAATAATTAGTCAAAGAGTTGTAAATATTGATATTACAATATGCAAATGAGATATTGGACGTTATAACTAAAAATCTAGTAGAGCGAATAATAATGTCGCCACCTTTTTTTAGTTACATACATACATATTTTGAGGTCTGAATCTTATTAATTTTGTAAATCAAAATTGCCAATCCAGAGGTATATCTTCCGTCTAAGGTTAACATTTTATTTAAGAAAGGAATTAATCAATCACAGGAATTTTGAAATCTTTGAAACCTAGCTTTATCTTTAAATTATAAAGCTGGCCAATATACAGTGTGTCCAACATAAGGATTGGATAGCATTAGGATCTAGGAAACGGTAAGAAATACGGGGTGGCTCAAATTAGAAAAAAGTTGTGTTTTTTATACCTAACAATATGCCGTTTAGAAAGTTTTAAAATTCCGGAGATATCCGGAAAAACTCAAATTTTTGCAAAATAGTTTTTTTTTCTGTTTTTATTTGAAAACGAATTTTAAAATAAATTGCATATTTACAGTGCCACTTTTTTCGCTCTATCCAATGACGTCAAAGTTTTTGCAATCCGACGTTTCGTCTTCGGGGGGCCATCATTAACTCTTTGCGGCATGCTGGTACAAGTTATGTACCACTTATTTAGGTTAGGTTGATGCATGATGGTACAGAAATAGTACCACCTCATTTAAACTACTGTAGCTAATGTCACTAATAGAATTCCGCGCGTATCGCGGACAAATCATGTACCTTACATGATGTGTTCTTACATAAATAGATGGCGTAAGCTAGTTCAGATTTCATTTGACTATTAAAGATGGTGATTTTGTTTACAAGTTACTGTAGCATACTATTCTTGAGTTTATTGAAGATACTGTGAGTGTTTTTTTGATTATAGTGAACGTGTTTTTCAATAATTTTATTACTTTTGCATAGGTAAGTAAAGTTTTATAAGTATTTATAATTTTTTGTAAACTTTCGTGATAGGATTAGTCATTATATTTGCGTCCAAAATGTGTACCACCATGCAACTTGGAAATTTTTTGAGAAAATCATTAAATATCTGCTATTCTGTATTAGTTACGTAATGATCATTAAAACTTTACAAAAAATAAAAATGATCTGTTAAATGTATAGAGAAAAAAAAAGAAATCATCCCATTTAATTTTGTTTTCAGATTCAAACATGGATAATAAGAGGACTACTCCCTTACCGTTTAGACTTGTTGGAATGACTGAAGAGGAATTGATGAATGATATGTATGTTGATATTCCAAGTGATGTGGAATCTATTATATCAGAAGTTTCTGAAAGCGATATTGAAGAGGAACCAATAGCTAAAAGTAATGAAATTATAATAGATGAAGAATATGAATCGGAATCTGATCTTACTCTTGCTGAATTAATCCGTAGACAACCAGAATTAACACACCAAGAAACACCTGTTTCTGACATATCCGTAAAGTGGGATAAACAACAAATTGTGGAAGATATTTATCCGTTTGTTGAAAATACTGGCCCCACTGATTTTGTAAAGAATATGATTGACTAGACTCCTGGCCAATTGTTTCAACTTTTTGTTAACGACGATCTTGTACATAATATTGTGTTTCAGACAAATTTGTATGCTCAACAAGTCCAACAACGTAGTGGTAAATCTTACATTCCTACAACAAGAACAGAAATACTAACATTTCTTGGAATAAATATTTTAATGGGGATAAAAGTTCTCCCTAGTTACAGGGATTATTGGAGCAGTGCTTCAGACTTGCATGATCCTTTCATTAGCCAACTCATGAATGTGAATCGTTTCAGTTGGCTGTTGGGTAACCAACATCTCAACGATAATAATATGATGCCAAAAAAGGGCAAAATAGGTTTTGATAAATTATATAAGTTGAGACCTTTTTTGGATGCTCTTGCAACAAATTTTGATAAATATTTTTTGCTATCTGAGTACATTGCTATCGACGAGTCTATGATCAAATTTAAAGGGCGAAGTAGCCTCAAGCAGTACCTTCCTAAAAAACCCATAAAAAGAGGATATAAAGTTTGGTGTTTGGCAGATAGCTCTGGTTATTTAAAAAAATTTCAAATATATACTGGTAAACGAGGTGCTGTTGAAAAGGAATTAGGGCCTCGTGTTGTTAAATACCTTTGTGAAGGGTTGGAAGATAAACATCATAAACTGTATTTTGATAATTTTTTCAGTACAGTCAAGCTGATGGTAGAGTTAAAGGAAAAGAACATCCATGCATGTGCAACTATAAATAAAAACAGGAAACATTTGCCTACTTTTTTGTCAGATAAGACTATGAAAAGAGGGGACTACGACTACTACACAAGCAACCAAGGTATTTGTGTAGTAAAATGGAAAGACAACAGATCTGTGCATTTAGTATCAAATTTTCATGATCCGCGTCATACTACTTCTGTCAAAAGAAGACAGAATGATGGATCAACATCGGATATACCATGTCCTTTGATTTTAAGCGATTATAATAGTCGCATGTACTCGGTTGATAAGTTCGACCAAAAAAAATCTTGCTATGAAATTGACCGCAAATCACGGAAATGNAACATCATTTTCTTAATTTAATGATATTTTCTCCGTTTGATACTAATGTTTATTTAAAAACTTGAGAAAATCTGCATTCTCTCTTTGAATATTTACTTTTTTGTGTGTATCTCCGCTATGCTTCCTCTCGAAATAGGGACAGCTGGTATACTAACTTCGGTCCGGAGGCCGGCCGGTATACTCGCGGGTGCCCCTTCCCAGGGGTTTTGTTCCTTTCTTAGTGGATCTCTATCGACTTCCACTCAACAGGTATTACATTATATACAATTATTCCTCCGAACCAGGCGAATATGACTCTTATTATAACGAAGAATACGGAAATAGGTCCACCGACTGATAATATAACTTTCGGTCAACTAGCTGGATTGCGTAAGGAAAAGGACAGTTCAAAGGTGATATCGCCGCCGCGTGCTCTATGAATCCTAATTATGGATAAATATTCAGAAACTATCACAACTTGCCACTATTAGCACCAACATTTCTGAACATATTATGTGGAAAACTTGAATTTATATCCCAATTAAGGTTGATTACAATAATCAATGAAAATTTCGAGTTTCCTCGAGCACAACTCTCACGACAAATTGCTCGCTCCTTATCACCGCGTTTCTTTTTTTGCTACCCACTTATCTTAAACTATTCTAACGTCTATACTAAATTTAATAAAGAAATATATACAAGGCGTATTCTTGGGAATTGCCGAGAAACCGAAATTTAACGTAACACCATTTGAAAACTCGTAAGATTATTAACTGTAGGTCTCAGTATTTCCGAATCTGAATAACGTACACGTTTTGCTCACAGATGACAAGATAGAGAAATTTATGCCAAAACGAACTGTGAAAACTGCAGGTTTCTAGCTCTTATGATTTAGGCGCTATCTAGCATCATTTAGAGAGCTGAAATGTTTTTTTCAAAAACAACTGATTATTTCAAAAGCGGTAAGTTTCTAACACCATGTACATTTAATAAACTCTACCTAAGGAATTCGAAAACGCAATAATATACAGGGTGTATCATTTAAAATAATAAGGTTATGTAGCGCCCACGTGAAATGGAACACCCTGTAAAGTTAAAAATATATTCTTTAAACAGCCCACATGATTCCAGGCAACTTTTGTTAAAACCATTTTTTTTATAAATTTGACAGTTACAGATTTACAGAAGAATCCCTTTTAGGTGGAACACCCTGTATATTTTAATTACGTGTACCTATTATGTAAACCCAAAACATTTCCAAATTATTGTAGATGAACGACGTACTGTGCTAGCATCAAAACATTTGTAGCGGCACATCCTTTAATGGAAACATCCATATTTAAGTACTTTTCTCTCGAGACATCAAGAAAACAATGAGGGTACAGAAAATGGAAGACTGGATAAAACGTATTTATAAACTGTTTACTCAGTTAGATCTGCGAAAATGTAAAACTTCTCGTATATGGTATAGAATATATGTTATTTGTCAATCGGAAGTTCATATTCTATGAATTGGGTAGAGAGAGCCGCCAGATTTTCGTAAAAAAACGTAAGGACTAAAGTTTATACAGTGTGTCCACGATAAGGATGGGATAATATTAGGATCTAAGAAGCGGTAAGAGATACGGGGTGGCTGAAATTAGAAAAAGTTGTGTTTTTTTATACCTAACAATATGCCGTTTAGAAAGTTTTAAAATTCCGGAGATATCCGGAAAAATTCAAATTTTTGCAAAATAGTTTTATTTTTTTTTCTGTTTTTATTTGAAAACGAATTTTAAAATAAATTGCATATTTACAGTGCCACTTTTTTCGCTCTATCCAATGGCGTCAAAGTTTTTGCAATCCGACGTTTCGTCTTCGGGGGGCCATCATTAATAATTTTAAATACGTCGCTGCTATTTTTATGACAAAATCTAGTCATTTTTAATTCCGAATTAAATGATATTACTATTATAAACGCTTAAAAAGGTTTTTAGCATATTTTAGCTATCATTTAAAATTTTTCCTGAGTACGGCTCTGAACGCTTTCATATTATATTGGAGGAAATCCTAACAATTTAAAAGTCAATACAGCACAAAATAGCGAACAATTTCTTTTAATCAATAATTTAAAAAAGTTGCACCTAATAAAAAAATAATACGAATTTATGAAATGTTTTATTATTTCTAATTAGTATTGCTAATGGTAGTAAAAAAAAATTGTTGGGTATTTTGTGCTTTATTGACTTTTATACAGTTATGACTTCCTCCAATAGAAAGATATTTTGAAAACATTCAGAAATTCAAAAATTTTTTTTTTATAAAAATAGCAGCGAGGTATTTAAAAAAATTTACCTGATAATGGACCCTCGAGGACGAAACGTCGGATTGCAAAAATGTTGACGCCATTGGATAGAGCGAAAAAAGTGGCACTGTAAATATGCAATTTATTTTAAAATTCGTTTTCAAATAAAGCCAGAAAAAAAATAAAACGATTTTGCAAAAATTCGGTTTTTCCGGATATATCCGGAACTACCCGAAATTTTAAAACTTTCTAAACGGCGTATTGCTAGGTATAAAAAAAACACAATTTTTTTTTCTAATTTGAGCCACCCCGTATCTCTTACGGTTTCCTAGATCCTAATGCTATCCCATCCTTATCTTGGACACACTGTATAGTAAAGCTTTATATTAAACAAAGCAAAATATTCAAAAAATCATAAATTTGGATGTTGAGAACGACAATTTAAAACCGGTGAAAAGGAGACTATTTTTTCTCTCGATGTGGGTCAACATGTCGGATTTATCAAAATATTTCTTATTAAGAGGCAATAAATAAAATCTTCAGACCGAGGCAGAAGGAGAGCATAAAAGGGAAGCGAAACAAAAAACGACACGGCCTCATAAATTGCTAAACCGAATCATTAATTCCAATTAAAACGATTCCACTAAACTAATTCAAGCTGCAATTTTTTATTTACTTCTCAAGACAACTTCAAATTTTTTCCCTTTTTTTATAAAGCCAGATATCAATTAGGGATTTGGCAAGAGTTGGACACTAAATTAGAGAGAATTAAAAGCGATAGAGACAGGACCCAAACATTCAACATGAAAAAATATAATTCGAGAGAATATTTTATATAGAGACATAAAATAAATGTCTGCAGATTTTTTTTTAAAGTTAAAAAAATGTATTTGGGTCGCCATCATTAACAAGTAGTAATTGTAAAAGTAATGGGTCTAGCGCAGTGCCCTGAGGAACACCGAACTGGACAGCATAAGTAGAAAAGATAAATTTCTGCTTTGTATACACCCAAATCAGTATTACATTATAAATTGATAAAAGGATTCCGCACAAACCTTATGGATTTTAGGTCCCGGTGGATTTGTCTAGATTTTTGATATTTTGTACTTGATATCCTCGTCATCAAAAGTGTCAATGAGCACAAAGTCCAAAAATGGACAATTTCCGAGATTCCGAGATCCGACAATAACCCTTGACATTGACCTTCAACGTCATTTGAAAGTCTAATCTAATTTTTTAAATAGGAACCTCTATTTTTGACCCCGGATTCGGAAAGAGCGCAAAATTTTGCGTTTAGATTGGTTATTAAGGCTCTTCTTTGGAATTACTCTTAAAGGTCAAGTCAAGGGCAACATATTTTAAATTACGCACCTGAATATTTCGTGAGGGGAACCAGCAATCCGAAAATAACCCTTACAAAAGTTGTTGGGTTCGGATGGGGACATCTGATGGTGTCTTTGACCTTGACAAAAAAGAAGGGCCTTAAGTACCTATCGTAAACGTAAAATTTTGCGCTCTTTCTGACTTCAGGGTCAAAAATAGAGGTTTCTATTTAAAAAATTAGATATTAGATTACATGACGAGATATTCATTTACTAATAACAAAGAAATTTACCTTCATTTTCCCCTAAAAAATGTACATCCTATCCAGTTGCAACTATAGTAGGATCGTATTCGATGCAAAGTAGAACAAAAAGTTGTCGTTCTTTTATCAAAGGAAAATCGTGTCATCATTTTTAGGAGGCGTAAGATGAACCATTTCAAGTTTAAAATGAAATTCAATGTTAAATATGAAATACCGCTGCATACGCACTGTGTTCTGGTAGTAGCTGCAATCGCCCAGGTGCATCGAGTGTACGAAGTGGTCGGTTTTACGTCAAATACTAACCTGGCGAGCTTGATCGTAAAACAGAGAGCGCCTCCAAAAAACAAGTAAACAACAGTGGCGCGCACAGAGGTAAAATGTAGTACATATGTGGAAATTAAAAAACAAATTGAATTTATAATAAATTACATTTAAAATAAATAGTTTATGAGAATAAAGGAATTTTTGTAGGAACAAGGGTGCCAGACGTGNCCGGTGGATTTGTCTAGATTTTTGATATTTTGTACTTGATATCCTCGTCATCAAAAGTGTCAATGAGCACAAAGTCCAAAAATGGACAATTTCCGAGATTCCGAGATCCGACAATAACCCTTGACATTGACCTTCAACGTCATTTGAAAGCCTAATCTAATTTTTTAAATAGGAACCTCTATTTTTGACCCCGGATTCGGAAAGAGCGCAAAATTTTGCGTTTAGATTGGTAATTAAGGCTCTTCTTTGGAATCACCTTTAAAGGTCAAGTCAAGGACAAAATATTTTAAATTACGCACCTGAATATTTCGTGAGAGGAACCAGCAATCCGAAAATAACCCATACAAAAGTTGTTGGGTTCGGATGGGGACATCTGATGGTGTCTTTGACCTTGACAAAGAAGAAGAGCCTTAAGTACCTATCGTAAACGTAAAAT